GGGGGGGGGGGGTGCAGGCTCTGAAATGGGGGTGCAGAGAGGAGGCAGATGTAAGGCCGAAGGGCGGAGGTAGGGGGGCACGGGGGGATGCACAAGGTGGATGCAAAGAGAGGTGAAAGGCGCCTGCCTGGGAGGGGCACAGAGGGCGTATGGGGGGGAGGTGTCTCTGGCTGGTGGCACCTCCCTGCCCCCCCCCCCCCACCCCCCCCCCCGTCCCCTCCACACCTGGACGCATCCCCTTTGTGTGGCCACAGCCCATTGGAGCGGGGACAAAAGCCCCACAACACGCAGTCCCGGGAGGGGTTGGGTGCAGCAGGGAGCAGCAGGGAGGTCCCCCCACCTTCCCCCCCGTTTTAGCATCATCTTATCTGGGCTGTCCCCAGGGAGCACCTCCTGGCCCCGTTGCACCCATCTATTGAGCATTCATGGGACCCAGCACCCCATGGGACCTGGCACCTCCCATGGGACTCCATACAACACATCAAACCCAATTGACCCCATAGAATCCCATTCATTCGACCCTGCACCCCAGGGAAGCCTGCACCCCTCACTGGACAGCATGCCTCCATTGCATCCTGCACCCTCTGTGGGATCCTGCACCCCATAGGACCTCCTACATCCCTCACAGGACCCTATGGATCCCTCTCTGGACACCAAGCACCCCTCATGGGACCCTATGCACCCTCCATGGGACTCCATGAACCCCCAGTGAGACCCCAGATGTCCATTGGACCCTGCTACCTTTGTAGGATCCTGCACCTCCTCTGACCCTCTGCACCCTCCATGGGACCACATGCATCCATTGGTCCCCATGTCCCTCATGGGACTCCACAAACCCCATGGGATCTTGCACCCCCTGACACCCTGGACCCCACATGGGATTACATGCACCCATGGGATCCTGCAGCCTCTATGGGAACCCATGCACCCAAGGGACCCCACAGCAGCCTGGGGTCCCCCCTCATATCTGGAGCAGCTGCCTTCAGTGCCAGATGTGGGTATGGGAATGAATTCACCTTCCCTGAAATGGGGGGAGATAAAGATGTAGGGATGGGGATGGAGCAGGGACTGCTCTCAGAGCCCCTCTGCCTCCTTCCCAGATTGGCTCCATGCAGGCAGCTGTCCTCATCCCATAAGAACCCCAAGATCAGACTTATTAATTCCATTTGGGTGCAATTAATCCCCTCCCATTGGCTCAGGGACCCTCACAGACCCCGTGCTCCCATCTCTGCAGCTCTGCTTGTGTGGGGTGGGACAGTGGGGATGGGGCTCACAAAGTGCTTTCTTAACTGGAAAAGCTGCAATGAGGCAGGGAAACTGAGGCAGGGAAACTGAGGCAGGGCACCCATAAATCCCTACTGCAACATGAAAATAAAAGAGAAGTTTTTGCTCAGCAAACAGCAACGTGGAATATCTGCTGCTGCTCCAGAGCTACAAACAAACCCTCAAAACTCAGAGTCCCCTTTCCCATATTGTGACAATTGGGTGTTTTCTATGAAACCATGAGATCTTCCCATTTCCCCAGAGAAATAAACACTGAGGGTCAGTGCCTTAAGGGACAGAGTGTTTTCTCAGGGCCGTTTACTCTGCTGGCACCATTACACGATGCTTCAAACAGGGATGGGCTGCTCAGACCCCAGTCAGACTGTGGGTTTGGCATAAGGAGGTTTCCCCCATTTTCTGTAGTTGCACCGAATGCTTGAATAATACAAAAGCAGCAGGATTGGAGCTTGGATCCCCATGGGATTTGTGTTGGGCAGAGCTCGGTGTCGGCTTCCCTCGCCGTGTTGTCTTACAGCTGCCTCACCTTTCAGGGCCAGCACTTCACCTCCGTCCTGAGCGGATAGCAGGAGGGAAATGTGCAGCACAGAGGGATGAGCTCAGAGCGGGACGTAAGGCAGGGCAGTGGAGAGCTGGGGAAGAGAGGAGGTGGTCACCCGGAGGGATCCCATGTTCTTGTGTCCCACGAGGGTTGTGGGCAGTGGTTTCACCAATGTGGGGTGCAAAGCTGCAGGGGATGGAAATGAGAAACCTTTGCACGGGGCTCTGCTTTGCTGCATCCTCAACCTGGGAGGAGGTTCTGCTGGTTAGAAATAGGTTGCCTTGCTTTGAAAATTTGGAAGAAGCTTTTTTAATCCTTCACCAACTTCAGTCCCGTGTTAGGGCTCAGTTTGACTAATAAGGGGCTAATGGAAGTCGTGCCAAAGTGAGACCTTCCTGCAGTTTGCACAGGAAATTGCCACAAAACCCAGTGCCATCCCATAATATTGGTTTTCCCGACAGTTCGCACGTCAGCAGCTCAGATTTTAAATGCCCAAACGACCTTCAGCCACTCCATTTTTCAGCCCCGTTAACAGATGGGCTCCAGCCTGGAGCACTTTGGGCACCGCTGCCCTTGGCTCAACCAAATCCCTCATCCCGATGGAACTCCAGCAGTATTTTGGCCATGACCTCAGTTCCTGTGGGATGTGGGGATCGGGATTTTGGAGCAGCCCCAGGGCTTGGAGGGCACTGGCTGGTGGAAGGGTTGGTGGGGACTTCGTGTTGGTGGGGACATTGTGTTGGTGATGGGAGCATCATGTTGGTGGGAGCATCATTTTGGTGGGGCCATCGTACTGGTGGGGGCATCATGTTCATGGCAGCATCATTTTGATGGGACCGTCATGCTGGTGGTGACGTGGTGTTGGTGGGACCACCATTTTTGTGGGGACATAGTTGGTGAGACCATTGTATTGATGGGATCATCACGTTGATGGGGCCATCACGTTCATGAGACCTTCATTTTGATGGGACCATCACATTGGTGGGGACACCATGTTGGTGAGCATCTCCCAGTTTTGGAGTGCGTGTCTTTATTTAACCTCATTGGCCGTGCCCCATGAATTCTGGTTCCAGAAAACCCACCCGTGTTTGTTGGGACTGGGGGTGTCACTGGGTTCCTCCTGGTGGGGGCAGCTCTGCTGGGGGGAGGGGGTGCAGGATCCACTCGGATGTCCCGGAGGAGCCTGGCTAAATGCAGGACCCAGAGGCTCCACCTGCCCTCAAAGGTGATGTCCAACGTGGAGCTGGGCCAGAGAGCAGCTGCAAGATAACTCTTGTGGAGAAGCTGCAGGTAGCATGGCCAGAGCTCCCTGCACAGCACCCAGAGGTGGTGCTCTGGGGAAATGGTTTGTGGTGGGCAGGGTGGAGCTGATTGGTGATACCCACTGAACACACCCAAGCTTGCAAGTTGGCAGTGATTTTGTTCTATGCTTTCATCCCGTGCTTTTTCTGAGGTTGTTTTGTACAAATCTGGGCTGGGGGAGCTGAATTTGCTGCTAAAATGGGCTGAAGGTGAGCAAATAAGGGAGCCATGAGCGCTGCTTTGGCCATGGGAGCATCAGGTCAACCCCAAGAGCAGCCCTGCTGTCCAACACATCAGTCTGGAGAGCAGCGGTGTGGAGAGACCCCCATTCCCCTTCCCAACACATAACCACAGATCGGGGGGTGAGCATCCTCCTGAGCACCTCTGCAGCATCAATTTCAGCTGCAAATCTCCAACAGAAAGTGCACCATTATCGTCTGTTGGAACAGCCCACAATCTTCTGGTGGCTGCGATGTCAGGTACGGTGAATGGGAATTCACAGCTTCCAGCCCTTTGTCATCCCCCTTCACAGAGGAATAATTTGGAAACCAGTGGAAACACAACGGTGCTCATTTGGAGGTCGCAGTTTCTCTTTGTGTTGGTGAAAGCGCTGCGGACGTTGTGGGTGAATTCCTGTCCCTGAGTGGATGCGAATGGAGGAATAGATTTTCGGCTTGTGATGCACAAATGCTCTCCTGATGCAGCAATGGTATCTCAGCCCAGGAATGCATCGGCTCTTTTGCAAGGGGAAAAATCACGTTTTCCATGGAAGGCAATCAGGGCTGACCGTGCTCCCACCGTGCTGGAGATGGAGCTGCCCTTGTAGGTCTCTGCTTTTGGAGTTGGTGGCGGCCGTGTCCTGTGGCCAAGTGCCACCTAGCGAGCCCTGCAGGGATCTCCATCCCGCACAGCTGCACTGCATCTTCAGGAATGGAAAAGCGCATTCCACCCCCCCCCCCCCCCCCCCCCGCCCCCCCGGCTTGAAATCTATTTATTTCATAGAATCAGAAAATGGTTTGGGTTGAAGGGACCTCAAGGATCATCCAGCTCCAACCCCCCTGACGCAGGCAGGGCTGCCAACCTCCACATTTGATACTAAACCAGGCTGCTCAGGGCTCCATCCAACCTGGCCTTGAACACCTCCAGGGATGGACGGGGCATCCACAGCCTCTGTTTGTTCAAGAAAGCTGCAAAAGCAAAGAAGTACGGGTTTTGTCTTTGAGGGCATCTAACACACGCTACCCTCCCCTCCTGCAATAAATACTGGCAGCCTCAATTTCTACAAAAACACAAGAATAAAATGTAATCCTGCTCCTTGCCCAGCAGGGACCCGATGAAGAGGCAGTGGTTGACCAAGGAGGAACAAGCAACGTTGTCAATATCCACTATGAGAAGGAAGAGCTGGAAGGTGAGAGGTTGGACTGGATGATCTTTTCCCACCTTGATGATTCCGTTAGGCAATAGCAGAACCTGCTGTGCCTGTTAACCAAGAAACACGCTCCCTTACAATTTTCATTTTATTATTTTATTTAATGGAGGAGGGCAGGGTGAATCCCAGAACAGTAGAGCTGGAGAGAACCTTTGGGTTCCTCCTGCTCAGACAGAACTCTATGGGCTCCATGCCCTTGTCCTGGCTCTGGGCAGCACCAAGCAGATCCCAGCCCCATCCTTCTGGGTTCCTCCTTTAGATGTTGATCTGCACTGCTCAGGACCCCACTTCCCTTTTGTCCCCCAGGTGAGCAGCCCCTCTCAGCCTGTCCCCACCAGGAGGGACTCCAGGCCCCCAGTAGCTCTGCACCCTCCACGTTGCTCATTCCAGCAGTTCCCTGTCTGCCGTGAACTGGGAGCCCAGTGCTCCAAATGGCTTCTCCCCAGTGCAGAGCACAGCGGGAAGCACCTCCCTGCCCTGCTGGCTGTGCTCTGTGCAGTGCCCCACAGGGAACCTTTGGCCAACAAGGCACACTGCTGGCTCACGGTCACTCTGTTGATCGACCCTTGGTCAACTCTTGGTCAACCTGTTGGCCACCATTGACCGTCTTGGGCATGCTGCTGGCTCATGGTCACCTTGTTGGCCACCGGGACCCCCAGGTCCTTCTCTGCAGAGCTCTCTTCCAGCAGCTCAGCCCCCAACCTGCCCTTATTCCTCCCCAGGTTGAGAATGATTTTCCCTCAGTGAACCCATGCTGACTGCCTCTGATAACCTCCTTTTCTTCCATTATCACAGCTCCCTTTCTCAATGAGGCTGCTCCTGACTGGATGAGAATTGCAGACAGGGCTTCAATTCTTTGTTTTCCTCTTGTTCTTTAGCTCAGTATCAGGAGGGTGACCTGATCATTTCACCACCTTGTCTTTATTTTAAGGATAATCCCATTTTGTAATGAACAACTCTGAGCTTTGTCCAGGCAAAGCTTGAGTTGAAGAAGAGATTCAACCCTCTGGTGTTACTTTTAAAGAACCGGGAGCCATGGCTTTTTGTTGTTGTGTTGTAGCAAAACTCAAGTAAAAATAAGCCCACTGTGTCACGGTGCTGCTCTCCCACAGGACACCGGACCCTGTATGTGGGTGTGCAGATGCCCCTGGTGAGGCAGAGCCATCGGCACCACCGGCCCCGCAGCCAGAAGCATCGGAAGCGCGAACGGGCGAAGGAGGCAGCCCCCGAAGAGCAGGGCTATCACTGTGAGTCCTGGGGATGAGGAGCCTTAAGGCTGGGGGGTCTGGCTCTGTGGGGCGGCCTCGAGGGCTATAGCTGCTATTTGGGGTCAAAACTGCATTACTGAGCAAGGGTCTCTATTTGCAGAGCTGGAGTTGGGGAGCTGTGGGAGTTAGGGATGTTACTGGGCATGGAGGGGATGGGTTGATGGTTGGATTCGGTGATGCTGGAGGTCTTCTCCAACCGTCATGATTCTGTGATTCCTGTATTGATTGAGCGTGGTGGGGGGTGGTTGGATTTGGTGATCTTATAGATGCCTTTTCCAACCTTTATGATTCTATGATTCTCGTGCTGATTTGATGCCCGGCCAGCTGCTGTTTTGGGGGAAAATTGCATTATTGAGAGCAAGAGCCTCTGTTTGCAAACTCTTCTTGGGATATTTTTTTTTCCAGACAATTAAACACATAGGCTCATCTTAGGGAGTCTGTCTTCATGTGGGAAAGTCACATTTATTGGAGGATGTAGAATAGATTGGAGGAGACTGGGAGGGATTGGAGGGGGGAAAAATTTATTTTCCAAAGGAGTGGTGATGCAGTGGCACAGGCTGGTGGCCCAGGGAAGCAGATTCACCATCCCCAGAGGTGTTCAAGAACCATGGAGGTGTGACACCTGGAGACGCGGTCAGTGGGCATGGTGGGACGGGTTGGGGTCAGACTGGGTGATCTCAGAGTTCTCTTTCAACTTTAATGGTTCTGTGATTCTATGATTCTGTTCATAGGGATTCTGTTCGTATGATTCTATGATTCTGTTCATTCTGTTAGGGATGTGGTTAGGGGGCACGGTGGGGATGGACTGATGGTTGCACTTGGTGATCTTATGGTTGACCTGGCCCCACCATGGGGCGTTTGGCTCTGTGCTTCTCCCATAGACACGCCATCCCAGCGGGTGCAGTTCATCCTCAGCACCGAGGAGGACGAGCAGCACGTCCCTCATGATCTGTTCACCGAACTGGATGAGATCCGCGTGAAAGAAGGCGAGGGCACAGAGTGGAAGGAGACAGCGAGGTAAATGGCAGCTCCTCCTGCATCAGGGCTGTCCGCAGTGCCGTGGGGCTGACCCCGAGCGGTGCCTGCAGGTGGCTGAAATTCGAGGAGGACGTGGAAGACGGCGGCGAGCGCTGGAGCAAACCCTACGTGGCCACACTCTCCTTGCACAGCCTCTTTGAGCTGAGGAACTGCATCATCAAAGGCACAGTGCTGCTGGATATGTGTGCCAACAGCACCGAGGAGATCGCAGGTACCGCTCGGTGTCGGGGTGGGACCATGCACTGCAAACCTTACCCCCAGGCATCCCATCCTTCAGAAATCCAGTTGCAGTTTTGTGTCTCAAAGGTTTGTTGGGCTTTGCTTTGGCCTGGCGGAAGGCTGAGCGTTTTCTTGCAACGTGGGACCCTTCTGAGAGCCATTTCTGGGTCTGGAGAAACAACTTGGAGAATGTTTTCCATCCAAAGCAGGCGTTTGCGATCAGGGCTCAGCAGTCTGCTCATGGAAGCATGGAGCTTTGCATAGAGCTGAACCTCTTAGAAATGAACACAGTCTGCATAAGGGCTGAGCCTCGTTAAATAAATTAGTTATTACCAGCTATTTCCTCATGTTCTTTTTTTTCCCTTTTGCCTTAACACTGAGGACTTGGGAGCTTTGAAGGCAGAGTTTATCTGGAAGATGACCAGGCAGTGTGTTTCGGGGTGAGGGGAGGAGGAAGATAATGGGAGTTAATTGGAAAAGCAGCTTTGGAGAAATGATGGTTGACTGGTGGTCCCCATTCAGCCCTTTCAGGAGGCAGGGGAGTCACAGCCATTCTCAGCACATTTCTCAGCAAATTGCAGTCATTTGGTGGAGGGAACTCAGGGAAGGTCTGTGCTTTGGGTTGCTTTTAATTTGGTTGGATACGTGGAGCAACGCTGAAAGACCAGACCAGGCGAGGAAATTGCATGATTTAGAAGGAGAAATAATTACCACAGTTGAGCAATGAATAAGCACTTTGATGCTGTTTTTTAGCAAAAGAAAATTCTTGCTTTTGTTGCAAAAGCTCAGTTGCATTAAAAATACCTCATGGAGTAAAGCTGTGCCCGTGCTGAGCTGTGCTGCATCCCTCTTGGGTTCTGCAGGGGTTCTCCTCTCACATCCCTTTCCCACCCTCAGATATGATCCTGGACCAGCAGAACCACTCCAGTGAGTTTGATGAGAGCATGCGGGAGAAGGTCCGTGAGGTCCTTCTCAAAAAGCACCACCACCAGAACGAGAAGAAGAGAAACAACCTCCTCCCCATCGTCCTCTCCTTCGCTGACAAGCCAGGTGAAGGGTCCTATAGGGCCAGGCACTGGGTGAAGGTTCCTGTAGGGTTTGGCACCAGGTGAAGGCTCTTGTGGGATCTGGCCCCATTGGACTTGCCCTGCACGAGGATTTATGTCCCAGTTGCTCCTTGTCTGTCTTTCTGAGTCTTTCTTTCTCCTCCTAGCCCAAACGCTCATCCCCCATCCTCCTCCCACCACTATAGAAGCTAAAAATGGGGTAAACCATGACACCAGCCCCATGGATTTAAGTAAGGTGAGATCCTGTAGCTTTCTTAGGGCTGGTTTTGCTCTTGCAAATGCGTCTACAGCAGAGTGCTGTGGGCTTCCACTTTGGGGTAAGAGCCTGAAAAGCCCTTCGTTTGATGTGCACAGGCAGAGCTGCACTTCATGAAGAAAATTCCCACTGGGGCTGAAGCAGCAAACGTGCTGGTGGGAGAGCTGGATTTCCTTCAGCAGCCCATCATGGCCTTCGCCCGCCTCACCCCGGCTGTCCTCCTCTCGGGCATGACAGAAGTCCCCATCCCAACCAGGTCAGAAGGAGAAGCACAAGGTTCTTCTTTAAAAATAACAACAAAAACCAACATCTAAATTCATCCTGAGAGAATGAGGCCAGCAGGAGCGAGTCTGCAAGCACATTCCCCCCATCTCTCATTCTCCACCTTCGTTTCTCCCTTCCCTGCTGTGGTTTCTAAGGGCACTGGTCGATGGCAGTGAACATCAACCCCAAAATTATAAAATGCACTGGCCAATTGTAATGAACATCAACCCAAAAGTTAAAAACTGCCCAACTTTAATGAAAGTCAGCTTGAATGGTCAGTTGGCAAAGGTGATGGGTTTTGAGGAGTTTAAAATCCATCACCTGTGTGCCCAGTCTCAGGCTGTGCTCTGGACTGGAAGCTGCTGGGATTTCTTTGGGTGCTCCCTAAGCAAGGACCTGTTCTTCTCTCTTGTTTTGTTTTCCTCACTCAGGTTTCTGTTTGTGTTGTTGGGACCAGAAGGAAAAGCCCATCAGTACCACGAGATCGGCAGGTCCATGGCCACGCTCATGACGGATGAGGTGTGATGAGATAATTCAGATCCCAGGGTTGTTTTTGGCTTTCTTCCTCTCTCCCCATCTCCACTGCAGTGAGGATTTCGGATCATCTCCACTGTAGCAAGGAAGCAGATCTGGAGACCTGAAAGCTCCCAAATTTTGCACCTAAAGCCAACACCGGGGGTCTGCATCGCCCCGTATGGAGGGCATGGTGGAGATGAGTTGACAATTAGACTGGATGACTGTAGTGCTCTTTTCTAATCTTAATTACTCTATGATTCTGTCCCAGAGCCCACATTCCCATCCTGGTTGCAATCCTGCACCTCATCCTGCTCTCCAGAATCCCCAACATGCGAAACCTCTTTAAGATGACTGAAGGATGGGAGGAAATGACCCCAAATCCCACGATGCACAAATTTTTCCTTTTGGGGAAACTTGGGGGAAAACTCTTCCGCGTTTATCTGGGAGTTTATTGCGCTGGTTAGGAAAACAGTGCTGCATTGTCCCCTCACCAGTTGTCCCCTACCTGCAGGTTTTTCATGACGTTGCCTACAAAGCCAAGAACCGGGCTGACCTGGTGGCTGGCATCGATGAGTTCCTGGATCAGGTCACAGTTCTGCCACCAGGAGAGTGGGACCCATCGATCCGCATCGAGCCCCCCAAAAACGTCCCTTCTCAGGTGGGTGCTGCTGTGGAGGGAGGTGTGAGGGGGTGGGTGGGAGACTTGGGAGTAAATCCATCTCTCTGTTTGTACAGAAAAAAAGGAAGGTGCCCGGAGCTCTGGATGACAATGCTTCTCACAGAAAGCCTGAAAAACATAGCGGCCCTGAACTGGAGCGGACGGGAAGGTGGGAGGTTCAATATTCTTATTTAGAAAAAAAAGGGGAGATTTGGGGTGGAAATACTTTAGCCAGAGGGCAGTGAAACTACTTCTGCCGATAGAAGTGTGGGTGCCCCATCCCTGGAGATGCTCAAGGATATAGATGGGGCTCTGGACAGCTGATGGAGGAGTGGGACCAACCCAGGGCAGGTGGTGAAGCTGGAGGGGCTTTGAGAACCCTTACAACTCAACCATCCTATGGTTCTGTGATCTTGAAGGACCCTTCCAACCTAACCACCCTGTGGTTCTACGATCTCAAAGGACTCTTCCAACCCAACCATTCTCTGGTTCTGTGATCTTTGAGCTCCCTTCCAAACCAAGCCATATTGTGGTTTTATGGTTCTATGTGGTTCTACGATGGGGTCTCAGGGTAGCTCCTCTTCATTGTTGGAGGGTTTTTTTGGTGTGTGTAAAATGGGAGAGGGACGCTGCTTTTTAGCTATGGAAGCTGCTCTATGCCCATAGTTGCACAAAATTCTCCGTTCTGCCTGCCCTATCTATTTTCTTGTTCCTCCTCCAGACTCTTTGGAGGTTTGATCCTGGACGTGAAGCGGAAAGCACCGTGGTTCTGGAGTGACTTTCGGGATGCGCTGAGTCTGCAGTGCCTGGCATCCTTCCTCTTCCTCTACTGTGCCTGCATGTCCCCTGTCATCACCTTCGGGGGGCTGCTGGGGGAGGCGACCGATGGCCACATAGTGAGTGTGGGGTGATGGGGAGGAGTGTGGGGTGATGGGGAGGTGTGCATGGCCATGACACAATGGGACACGGCATGATGGGACTTGCTGGGTTGGCAGTTGGGCTTGATGACCTAAGTCTTTTCCAACCTAAATGACGCCATGTTTCTATTTACTCTTTCTATATCTCTATTTTCAATTGCAAATTTACTTTCTTTTTTATTTTTCCTACAATAATGCTTTTCTCACATTTTTTTTTCACTTTTTTTTCATCCACGAATGCTTTACCCACGTGATTTAATTGCTCTTCTCTTCCCCGGGCAGAGCGCCATGGAGTCGCTGCTGGGCGCATCCATGACTGGCGTTGTCTATTCCCTCTTTGCTGGCCAACCTCTCACCATCCTTGGCAGCACCGGCCCTGTCCTCGTGTTCGAGAAGATCCTCTACAAGTTTTGCAAGTAAGATTGGCTGCACGGAGCCTTCTGAAGGCTGAGATTTTTTTCTGTTATTTTTCTTAATGGTAGCTGTAAGATTGGAGATGATCAGAGCTGGCTACTGTGGCATGCGCCGAGTGCATTGCATGTTCCTACCTCCAGGATGCAAGGGTTTGTGCAGAGTTTGTGGGGTTGAGGCAAAACAGGATGAGGAGAAATCACATGTATGGAGATGTCCAAGATGGGACGCATGAGTGAGAGGAGACAAATCACTGTTTTGAGAGCATGAAGGAAGATTTGCTTTGCTCTCAGCCACAGAAGCAAGCTTTTTTTTCCAAAGGCAGAAATACATTTCACCCAAACAGCCAAACAATTTTCCCTTCTGGTGAAATATTTTGAGATTTGATGATTTTGTTGAAGAAGCAGGAGCTTTTCATGCCAAATGCATACTTTCTGTGACAGCCATTGCCGTGATGGCTGTGATGACAGTGATTAGCCACCCTTGCTGCAATTAATCACCCACACCATTCAGGCAGCTGGTGCTGGATGCCCAACCAGAGGGTTTTGATGTTGGCATAAGGTGATGGGCGAATACAATGTGCTCCCCTACAAAGACCTGACCTCAGTTAGCCTCTGAGATACTGACACCGCATCACTGTTAAATAATGCTAATTACCTCATTGGCCTCTCCACCCATGGGCCCTGCAGCCCCGTGGCTGTCTGTGGTACAGGCAAACCACATTCCTTGGCACGTTCCTACATCTCTCTGGGTTTTCCCTGAGGGAAAACCCATTCGCTTTCCCTCCCATCTCAGGGACTACGCGCTCTCCTACCTGTCCCTGCGGACGTGCATCGGGCTGTGGACTGCCTTCCTCTGCATGGTGCTGGTGGCCACGGATGCCAGCTGCCTGGTGTGCTACATCACCCGCTTCACCGAGGAAGCCTTCGCCGCCCTCATTTGCATCATCTTCATCTACGAGGCTCTGGAGAAGCTCATCTGCCTGGGAGAGACCTACCCGGTGCACATGCACAGCCAGCTTGACTTCCTCACCCTCTACTAGTGGGTTTTTTTCCCCTAAAACACCCCACTGGCAGCACCTTAGGGCTGCGCCAACGTTGCTCCTCCTTCCCTTCCCCTTGGTTCTCTCCTCCCAGCTGTAAGTGTGCAGCTCCCACCCATCCCACCAATGAAACGCTGCACTTTTGGCAGAGCAATGAGGTCAACCCTGCAGCCATCGCCTGGGAAAACCTCACCGTATCTGTAAGTGCCCGTTGGTGTCAAGGCGGTGCCAAAGCCCTTCGGGTGATGCTGTGCTTCAAACTGACGTGAAAAATCACTGCTGTGGTGCGGTGTGTGTGGTGCCCACCTGCGGTCTTGGGAAGGAGTGCACCATATTCTTAGCTCTAGTGGTGATGCCTGTCACCCCCAGGCATGCTGCAGGGCAGTATTTCTGGCTGGGAGTGAGGTTGGTGGTGGTGTGAGCACTGGAGGGTTGGAGGTTCATGCCTGAAGGTGGTAATTGGTTCTTTAATTAGTCCTCAGCAACTCCAGGGCTAGTTCTTATTCAGCGCTGTCTGCACCTACATGCATAAGGCTTAGTGTCCGAGCGTGCACATATCTGCATATCTGAGCGTGCACACATCTGCCTGTCTGATGTGTCCCAGGGATGAGCCCTGGGAGATGGTGCTTTGTCTCTCCTTTCCTACCATGGTGATCACCTCCCTCCTTCCCTTTTTTCCCTTTACTCTGCCCCCAAGAATCCCCTCTGGGCGTCTCATCCCCCTGTGGTGCCTTCAGCCATGGCTGCATGCAGTCCAAATGGAGAACGTGCCATGACTCTGTGCCCCATCACAGCCCATTTCTCCCTCTCCCCTTTGTTGATGTGTCACTCGTTAAGCTCCCGCTGCTCCTCAGATATAAATCTCCCCTGCCAGCAGCAGGCACAAGGTCACGGATCTCGGACCAGGCCCCCAACCCTGCCCCAGTTACCCAACATTTCCTTTGAGCACATGTACCTCTTTTGTGTCCTCATGCTCTGTTTCTCCAGGAATGTCGACATTTGCATGGAGAATTTCATGGACCTGCCTGTGGACACGATGGCCCCTACACACCCAATGTCCTCTTCTGGTCCTGCATCCTCTTCTTCTCCACCTTTGTCCTCTCGAGTTCACTGAAGATGTTTAAAACCAGCCGCTACTTCCCAACGAGAGTAGGTAGAAGGTGGGGGCCAGCAGAAGGCCCCACACTCATTGCCTCAAATATTGGAGCATTTGCCACCACTGGGTCAAGAACTGCTGATGGAAGAGCCATGAAGGCCATGATCTCTGTTGGCTTGGATGGGATCTCCATTGGTTTGGATGGGATCCCCATCAGCTGTTTCCTTACCATTTCTGTGAGCTCAGTGATCTCTGCATTTCCTACCTGCCTGAAGGCCTGTCCCAGTGCAATGTAAAATGATGACATGATCCTATGAAAATCAGATCCTCCAAAGTTATTTTTTTTCCCCTCACCATTGTGTACTCTAGAGGAAGGTTGGTTCATATGAGGAGCTGCCATAGAAGAAGAGATATTTCTTCTCTATAGGGAACAAATGTACCTCAGTGCCTTATTCCCATTTCAGCAGTGAGAGTGGCTGTAGTGACAAATGTTTATTTCCAAATATTTAATAATGATTTAAATAAAAAGAATTAAACATCCCTTTCCCCTTAATTAAGCTATTTTCTTTTCTATCTGACACCAGATCTCACAGGGACAAACACAGCAGCAGCTTCTAACCAAGGGATTCAGCTCACGTCCTCAGAGTGGTGGGGTTTTGTTAATCAGCCTTCATGTTGTTTGCATCCCAAAGCTTTTTCATCTCGTGCTGCTCCTGTGTTTGCCATGACCCTTTCTTTCAGCATCAATTTCTTGCCCCCATAGGTCCGATCTACGATAAGTGACTTTGCTGTTTTCCTCACCATCGTCGTCATGGTGGTCATTGACTTCCTCATTGGGATCCCATCACCAAAGCTCCACGTCCCCCATATGTTCAAGGTAATGGGGAGCTTTGGCACAGGGTTGGCTTCACCCCGTGACTGTGCTGCTGGGGACATCAACCTGGTGATAATGGGGCTGGACAGGGCAGAGCCTGAGGGAAGTGCTGGTGGTGTGACTTTCTTCCACCTTCCAATGCATCACTTCTCTCTGGAAATGAGAAAACAACCCTAAAACTTGATATGGACAGGAGAAATATCTATGGGTGCTTGCAAAGAGTGCTGCTGAAACCCTTAGCAGAGAGTGATGCAAAGCACTGAGAATGCTTCAAAGTGGAGATGGAGGGGAAATCCAAGCTGGCGGGTGACACTAATGCTGGTGCTTTGTCCCAGCCCACCAGGGATGACCGTGGGTGGCTCATGAACCCCATAGGACCCAACCCATGGTGGACAGTGTTGGCTGCACTCATCCCAGCTCTGCTCTGCACCATCCTGATATTCATGGACCAGCAGATCACCGCTGTCATTGTGAACAGGAAGGAGCACAGGCTGAAGGTAAGTGGTTGCGAGAGGAGAATCCAACCCCAACCCTAAAAATGCAAACACATTTGCCTGGGGCAAACAGCTCTGCTTGGCAGGATGCTCCTCTGCACTAATGATGTCACAGGGAGCAAACAAGAAGGCAGTTTGTACAGGAAACCTTTCAGAGGCAGCAAATTAACCTTGTAACAATAAGGAGGAGTGTTTTTGTTTTAAAATTTAGAGGAATGAATCGTTTTAACACAGTGCCAGGAACCTGCCAGTCACGTCTCACTTGTGAGTGGTGGGAGTGTGCTGCAAGGATGGGAAAAAAATCAATGTTTTTTGAAGAGTTAGGAGCTGTACTGAAAAAAAACCCACCCTAGAGTCTGCTTTGTCTGAACTCTGGACAGATTTTCACAGGGAGAACTTGTGCAAATCTGAGCGTATCTGTAGTTGTTTCCAATTATTTTAGATTTGCAAAGAGTTGACTCGAGCTCGAGCAAGCTGCGAGTTTGGCTCATTGCTCTTCTGCTGTGGGATGCTCTGTTTCTCGTTCTGCAGAAAGGATGTGGGTACCACCTGGACCTCTTCATGGTGGCTGTGATGCTCGGGGTGTGCTCAGTGATGGGGCTGCCCTGGTTTGTGGCCGCGACCGTCCTCTCCATTACCCACGTGAACAGCCTCAAACTGGAGTCAGACTGCTCCGCTCCTGGAGAACAACCCAGATTTTTGGGGATACGAGAGCAGAGGGTCACGGGACTGATGATCTTTGTGCTCATGGGCTGCTCCGTCTTCTTGACTGCTGTGTTAAAGGTAGGAGGAAAATGCAAAGCACCCAACAGCCTGGAGGATTTTTTGGAGATGGCACGAAAGTAGTCTCTAGTCCCCTCTCCAGGTCCGAGGGGCACAGGAGGTGATCCCAGACCTTGAAGTGTGACCCATAATAGCAACTGGCCCCACTTGCACTTCCCAACCCTTCAGTTGGGCATACTTGAGAGCACCAAGCCACATCATTTTTTGATTGTCTTTTGGACCTGCCTGTGTTTATGGGCTACAGCCTCATGCATTCAGACCACTACATCCACTCTCTTTCCATCAGGCAGTAAGAGGACAGGTTGCACTGTGCTCAGAGCTGCCGTTCCTGGTGGCTAAATGTGCTGCAATCTTCTCGTGCACATTCCTCCCACAAAGTCATTTAATCTCCAGGCTGAAGGCAGGCACGCCACCTCTGCATGTTGCCACAGGAACATGCAGAGCTGTTTTCCTGCCATCACAGAGCGCAGCATATGGTAGCATGGGTGAAATCACCTATTTTCCTGCAATCTTTCTGGAAAATTGGATTGTTCTGATGAAAAAGTCGCTCAGAAGTTCTGCCTAAAGCAGAGCGCTTCTCACATGCATGCACAAAATGTTCAGTGGATAAAATTCAACGCATCTCCAGCCCTGTGGGAACTGGAAGGCTTTGGGCAACTTTATGCAGAATGAAAGGATAAGATTGAAAATGCAATGGCTTTACTTAAAATAGCATTCCCTTTGCAGTTTATACCAATGCCTGTGCTGTACGGTGTCTTTCTCTACATGGGTGTATCGTCGCTCAGAGGAATCCAGGTATGGACTGTTGCACCACGCAGATGTTTGCTCCCTGATATTTTGTCTTACTGAGAGAAGGGGAAAAAAAGGTCTTGCAGCCAGTAGTGGGAGAAAAGAGAAAAGCCTCTTCAAGTGCAAGAGATGAAAATAGAGAATCATATTGGAAGGAACCCATAAGGGTCATGGAGCCCAAATTGTTGCTTGGAGGTGGTAGAGGCAGAGGAAGGGGGTCTGCAGGGCTGAGAGGACTGGGTGGGTTTGGTGCTGTCTGTGTTATGGCCTCAGTGCTTTGTTACGTGAAGATGGGAGAATTTGATGCAAGTGGAAGGAAATGTCTCCCTCTCGTGGAAGTTGTTGCTGGAGGATTCACTAGGCAAAGGAAAGTTAATTATAGAATCACGTGGGATAATTGCAGTTTGGTGACGGCTCTGCGGGGTTATGTTCCCACAGGAAGAGATCAGCGCTTATTGTGAGAGCCCTAATAAATTCCTACAGGTCTCAGTAAGGCCAGCAACTCCCTGCAGTCCCACGGTGGCATCTCCTCATTGTTTTGCAGTTCTTTGACCGCCTGAAGCTGTTTGGAATGCCGGCCAAGCACCAGCCTGACTTCATCTACCTGCGGCACGTGCCGTTGCGCAAAGTGCACCTCTTCACCCTGGTGCAGCTCACCTGCCTCGTGCTGCTCTGGGTCATCAAGGCGTCCCGTGCGGCCATCGTCTTCCCCATGATGGTTGGTGGCTCTCAACAAGATGCTTGCAGCATTGAACGGGGTGTAGTCATGCCTCTGGTCTCACCATGGCTTCCCTTAAGGTCCCTTCCAACCCAACCATTCCATGGTTCTGTGACCTCTAAGGGCTTTTCCAGCCCAACCATCCTATGGTTCTACAATCTTGAAGGACCTTTCCAGCCCTACCATCCTATGTTTCTGTTTCTGAAGGTTTTGGCTCTCGTTTTTGTCCGGAAAGTCCTGGATTTTTGCTTCTCGAAGCGAGAGCTCAGCTGGCTGGATGACCTCATGCCAGAAAGCAAGAAGAAGAAGTTGGACGATGCCAAAAATGAAGCCAAAGAAGAAGAGGTAATGCTACTGGGTACCTGGGTGCTGTGAAATTTCTATCACAGCCAGTCATTAAACGGTGTGAGGAGTCTGGAACTAAGCAGAAGGAGATTCCAATGGCTTTTGGCAACCATTTTTTTACCCTAAATCATCACTTGAACAGACATACATTAAGCTTAACTGTTGAACAATCATACAACTTTAAAATGCCTTCTAAAATAAAATTGTTTTATTATTGTTGTTATTTTGATCATTATTATTATTGGAAAGATTTGCTCATCATGGGTCTTTAAACCCCCAAAATGTTTGGAGCGAAAGGTTTTCATCCTGCTCCATCAGTGCTACAGCTGCCGAGGACCAGGAGGGGCAGCATGCAATGGCTGTGTGGGGTTTTTGCTCAAAGACAGGAGGTTGATCTGCCCTTCTGCTGCAGGAGTCTCAGCAAATGATGGAAGCTGCTGCTGCAAACTCAGTCCAGCTGAGCCTGGGGAAGACAAGCTATGTGGGTGTCCCCAACCAGAACAGCAGGGACAGGTAAAGACCCATCACATGCCAGGTGTGGTGGGATGGGTTGGGGTTGGACTGGATGATCTTATAGGTCATTTCCAACCTCAGTGCTCTGTGATTCTATTCAGGGACTCGGTGAGTGGGCTTGGTGGGGATGGGTCAGCGGTTGGACTTGACGATTCACGAGGTCTTTTCAACTGTAAAAATTGGTTCTATGATTGCAGGACCGACCCTTCTGAGATCAACATCTCAGATGAAATGTCGAAGACAACTGTGTGGAAGGCTCTCACCATGAATGCAGAAAAACTCTGAATCCGAGGAGGAAAAAGGTAAAAGGTAATGGTAATGGTGAATGTGACCGTGCTGCTCTGCAAGCCACAGCGCCAAAGAGCTCATCCCCAGCAGCAGGCAGCAAGTACTGGGGAAATTGAGATTGGAGGATGGATGATTTTAGAGGCCTTTCCAACTTTAATGATTCTGTTTCCCTCTTTTTCTTTTTTCTCCCCTCAGTTGTCCTCTTTAGGGATCTTGGCTTTGAAGGAGAGGAGCGAGAACGTGACTCAGGGATGAGCCGGTGCAGCTGTGCTGGGTGGAGGAAGCAAACACGCACCCTCCCTGGTTCTCTCCTCCGAGTAGCAGGATTCCCATTAAAGCCATTTAAGACTTTTCCAGTTATCCTTGGTGTGCTTCAGGCATTCAGTATCTCTAGACCAGCAATCTGAGGTGCACCTCGCTGTCAGTGGGAGCTCGGTGTTGCTCAGCCTCCGTGTGTACGTGTGTGTGCGTGTGTTGTCGCGGTCTGTGGTGGTAGAGGGGCAGCTACCGCTTGGTCATTCAGTGCTATCTAGTTTTTTTTTTTAATATCTAATCTCCCCCCCCCCCCCCCCTCATTTCCCATTTTCTGTCCAAATATAAACTCTGAATGTACAAAAGAATTTTCTGTTATATTTGACGCATTCTACACTTCCTTCTTCGTCACTGCCAGATTTTGGGCTTGGTTCGGGGTCCCTGCTTGGATTCACTCTTCCCTTCTATCTCTTATCGGTGTGGGAGAGATATCCTTTGTGGTGGGAAGTGCAGAGAGAAAGAAGAAGCGTTTGTTCCAGTTTTGCCATCATTTTTTTGCTTTGACTCCAGAATCAGCAGGTGCCCATGGAAGGGCTTGGAATTGAGTGATCTTTAACAACTCAACGGATTGTTCTATGATCATTGATTGTTCAAAGATATTGGTTCTATGATCTTTGAGGTCCCTTCAACACAGTCTTCCTATGATTCTATAGCCTTTAAGATCATTTCCAACCCAACCATCTTATCATTCCATGATCTTTGAGGTCCCTTCCAAGCCAACCGTTCTGAGATTCTATGATTTTTCAGGACTCTTCCAACCCAAACCATTCTGTGGTGCTTTGATTCTAAAAAGCTGAAATGCCACCTTCTTGTCCCTGGCTGTGAGTTGGATATAAGGAAACTCCTAAAACCCACTGCTTTGAATAAACCACGTAGTCATGGGAGCAGCCAGCCACGTCCATTGCTTTCCTTGCTTTACATCCTCAAGAATACTCTGCTCATTTTCTTTGCCCCCCACCCCATGCAAAAAGCCTTTTCTCTTTCAAGGTAGCATGGAGCATCAGGAAAATGAATTATCTTCAATGTCCCTTCCAACCCAACCATTCGGTGATTCTATGGAAGCAGGAAGAGGTTTTTCCTTTTTGTTTTCCCTGCTGCCCTGCAGGAAGATGCTGTTGAGCAGGGATGGTACCCATGTGCTCCTCACATTTTGGGAGCCATTGGGCTGTGGTCTCACCCCTGAGACAGACTCCCTTGGGTGGCCACAGAGCCTGGGAGGAAAGGGAACACAGAAGGGACAGTTGTCCTGTCCCCATCCCCGTGTGAAGTGGCTCCAGGCACTTGGAGCTGCTGCCATCTCCTCATCCCATTTGCTGTCCCATCCATCAGTTCAACCTTTCCATGCCTCAGACAAACCCAGAACACTGATAAATGGATGGGGGAAAATAATCTTCTGTAAGGATGTCAGTGGTGCATCAGCAAACGGGGCAGAAAGTCACTGATTTGGATTTGCAAACCGTGCTTTGGTGGCTGGTGGTTGTCAGAGAAAGAGAAAGGGATTTACTTCTTGCAGGGGAAAATAAACTTGAGTTGGAGGAAGGAAGAGCTGCAAAGCCTGGGTTTGCTCATTGCATGAGAGCAGTGCAGCTCTGACCTTGCAATTATTCACCCTCTGTCTGCAGGACAGCTGCTTTCTGTCTATTAGCCTCTGATTATGAGCAGAAAGTCGGTCTCCACTCCTGTTCGCCCCAGAAGGGACTGGGGCCAGGGGATGGGATTGTTTTCTACATGCACTCAGCGTCCCACTGCTGGCATTGAAGGAGCAGAAAAGTCCCAGCCATGAAGGCAACTATTGTTGGTTCCTTATGTTAAAAGCAAACCAGGCTTCCTCAGAGTGCCCTGGCACAGGATGCACAAACATCCGGATCTGAAATGATTTTTTCCCCTGTTTGCAGGCCTAGTCTTCTCTCCTTCATTTTATTTTTAAGTTATTATTTAAAAGGAAGCAGAGTTCTAATTCTTAATGCCATTATTGCAATTGCAGCTGCAGTTCCTGGTGCTGCTGCTTCGTTTACTCACCACCAACCCATGGATTGCTCTGTATGAGCAGACTTGATTGGGGCTGGTGATCTTAGAGGTCTTTTCCAATTGTAAGGATTCCATGATTTGGGAAGGATTTGATATTTCCATGTAGGGGGCAGGAAGCATCCCAAAGGTAGCCCTGGAATCAGCGTGGGATTAAAATTACTTCCTTGCAACGTGCCGTGTTGGTTCGGTTGGCAGCAAACTCCATTCCCCCGATGCAGGATGGGTGCTGGGGTTCATCCTCATCTCTGGTGCCTTAAAGCAGCTCCTGGGGCCATGCACAAAGGCGGCTCTGTTACATGAGGAGGCTTTGGAAGCACTGGGGGTGCGAGGAGGAGGAGGAAAAGGAGGAGGAGGAGGAGAAGGAAGAAGGCTCACAACCAGCAGTGCAAAAAGCAAAGCTCCCCTCTCCCATAGGATAAAAAAAAGAAAAAAAAGAAAAAAAAAAAAGAATCCCAAATGAATCCTATGGAGAGCCCTAAGTGAAGAAGGGCGGGAGGAAAGTAAGAGGGTAATAAGCTTGGTGCTGGCACTTCTGTTTTGTCCCAGTATATTCTCCGTTCTGCCATCTGAATGTAGAAATAGAGGAATTATTTTTGTTCCGGAGATACTGAAATGAATTTATTTTTGTTGCAAGAGATGATCTAGTTTGGAAACGCGCAGTGTTGTAAATAAAACGGGGAGGAAAAGAAAACATCCGACCAAATCTGTGTTGTCTCCCAGTTCCGAATTTTAATTTATGTATTTTTTAAGAATTCGATTTATTTAGGGCTCATTCTGTGAAAACCAAATGCCATCACTCCGTGTCGCTGTCTCGTGGTTCCTGTCTCAAATTGTTGCTGCTATTGACATGTTCCACCATCCCAGCCCCATCTGCTGGTTTTTCTATGTCGTTCACTGACCACAATGGGAAAACCACCCAATAAAATCTGTTTGTGTCTCCGTGCTGCTCCAGTGTCTTTTGAAGGGCTGTGGTGCTGATGGAGAGGGTTGGAGGTGTTCCTGGAGATGTTTATGGATGTTTCAGACAGGTGGGGGAGTGAGCAGCACTGATCTGGGGGAAATCCATCCCCGTTGGGGCTTGTGAGCTGGTGGGAAAGATGTGACATTATTGGTTTTTTTTTGAGCAACATCACTTTGTGTCCTTGATCTGTAGCAAAACTCCACCCAGAGAGAGCAGTCCCTCTGTCGTGTGAGGTTTTCTTTTGGTACTGCTTTCAATACAAACAGGGCAGAATTAAACAAAATATGTTCTACTTGTCTTTCATACTCCTTTATTTAATCTTAGAGCCATAGGTCTGAGCAGATGGGATACTCACGGGGGTCAGGAGGAGGCACCCTGGTTACCATCTACCTAAAATTGAAAGAATTTGGAGAAAAAACAGGGCGCCTGAACCAGCCCCTGGTCAGAGACTGGTTCTCCCAAAGTCCCCAGGCAGCAGCATGCAGGATCCCCATGGGGTGCTGGGGTGGGTTGGAGCACCCAGAACCAGAATTAGGAAGGGCAGCACGGCAGGAACGGGGGGTAGAGAGGAAATAAATTGGGCAGAGATGCTGAGCTGCAGCGCTGATTTCAGCAGGGGATTGGGAAACACCATGCGGGCTCGTGCAGTGGTTCCATGGATCAATCCTTCTGCAGAGGGTCAGATTGCTGCTGGCCATGCAGGGGTCCCACAGCCATGGGTGCACACTGGAAAGCCTGGGACTGCTGTTTAATTGTACCTTTTAAAAAGGAAATAATAAGTCAATAAATGGAGAGAGAGAAAGAGAGAGAAAGAGAGGGAAAGAGAGAAAGAGAGAAAGCAAGCAAGCAAG